CCACCTCGGTCATTGTTAATATGGCAGTGTTTTCAAGGCTGTCCCCAGGTGTCATAGTGGTGGCTGATTCCATTTTTAAAATACTTTATTATCCTCTGAATTTTTTTTTCAAATGGAAACATTATGATTTTTTTGTAATTAGTTGCAAAAGAAGAATCTATTTCCGTTTTGAAAATATGAAGTCATGCAACTTGGAAGGGAGGGAGAAAGGAAGGAAATAGGAAGAAGGAAAGATACCAGCTCCTCTTCAGGGGGACATGGCTGCTGTGGAGCGCTCTGCGCAGTCCCACCCATCACCAGCCTGCACTCTGACGTTGGCAGGACTCGTCCTTTTGTGCCTCAGTTTTCCCTGAAGCAGAAGATGGAGAATTGTCAGGGCTCATCTTGAAACCATTTTCCGTCAGCAGGGTTGTGCTGAAGGCTCTACCCGGGCCCTAGAAGACAGAGGAAAGTCAGACATGTTGGTATTGTCACCCCAGCACCTGAGAGACTGAGACAGAAGGATCGCTGGGAGGGCAAGGCCAGCCTGGGCTATATAGCAAGACTCTGTCTCAAAAAAAAAAAAAAAAGGAAGGGAAGGATGCGCGGGAGGAGGGAGAGGAGGGGACCAGAAATAAGGCCAGATTGCCCTGTTATGTTCAGACCTCAACTTGAAATTCATGAGCTGTGACCTGGGCCTGCTCAGGATTCCTGGGGCCTCCTGGGACAGTGGGAACAGAAAGGGACTTGTTGCTGGGAGCAGCCTCACCTCCGCCCACTGTATTTTTTGGCCCACCCATTCCCTGGCCGGCACCCCAGCTCCCCGCTGCAGAGAGCCTGGAGCCCCTGCTCTTCACTTTGAGATCCAGATTTGGCCTGAAATGTCCTGATCCGCGCCCTGCTCCTCCAGCCAGCCACCCAGAAGCCCGCAGGGTCCCCTCCCAGAGATGTCCATCCGAGATCCCAACATGCTCGAGTTCTCATTTGTCAACCCTGCTTGTCCAACATTGATGCCTATGAGCCTCCCAGGCACCCATTTCACTGTGGAAACTGAGGTCAGAAACATCTGGTCATTCGTTCACAGCCGCGCACCACCTAAGAAATGGCTTTGACCTTCAGGCCAGGCCTGTCCAACATCAGAGCTCCAAAAGGAGGAGACATAAAAAGGACCACCAAGCCAGATGTGGTAGCACAGCCCTGTCATCCCAGCACTCTAAGAGACTGAGGCAGGAAGATTGCAATTTTGAGCCCAGCCTGGGCAGCTTAGCCAGACCCTATCTCAAAATAAAAAAAAATAAAAAAAAATTAAAGGGCTGGGGATGCAGCTCAGTGTGAAGTCCCTGGCTCTGTCCCCAGCACCCCCAGGTACATACCAAAGCAGGTGTCTCTTTCCTGGTATCATTTTTATCCAACAGGGCCTGGGCACCCGGGTCCCCGGGTTCTGGCCCTTACTGTCAGGTACTAATGGTGAGGGTCTAGATACCCCATAGGGTGACACTGCCAGTTTAGACAGAGTAGAAAGGCCCTGAGAGGTGTTTACTTGGCTCTCTCTGTGCCTCAGGTTTGAAGGTGGCTCTGCAGATGGCGCGGCACCGTGTCCCTGGGAAGCTACCATCTGCTTGGAGTGGGTGGGACAAGCTGGCAGGGCCACCACCACCACCTCCATGCTGGGCACAGCGCTTGGCCACCAGGGCTGGTGGGCCTGGCACACTCTCTCTGTGTACCCACTCTCCCTTCACTCAGCCTCAGCAGGGACTGGGCAGGGGGCAGGGGTGGCACAAGCTGCAGGCCAAGTTGGCTGAGTCTCCCTGGGGACCTATTTCCTGCTGCAGAGCTGAGCTGGGCAGTGGGTCTGGGTGGGAGAGAAGCGTCACGCTCCTTCCTTCCCGCATTGCTTGAGCATTACTGTGTTCCGGGCTCACTGTCTGGACACAGAGACTTCTTGTCCTGTCCACTGTCTGTCCCAACATGAGGCTCGGGAGCCAGCCTCCTGGGTGTCAGTCCCATCTCAGCCACCTAGCCCACTGCTGTGTCCTTGCAGCTGCCTGACCAAACTGGGCCTTGGTCCCACCGTCTTCTGTTTGTGGGTTTTTGCTTCTGTTTTAATCTTACTATGTAGCCCAGGCTAGCCTCAAACACACAGCAATCCTCCTGCCTCAACCTCTCAGGTGCTGGGATTATTGGCGTGCACCACCAGGCCCGCTGTCCAGCCCATTCTGATACAGGCCAGGTGAGGGCCTCACTTGGGGAACCTGGGCCCTGGGACCATGTTGCACTTTCCAGCCTGGCACTCCATGCCCACGTTGGCCCCAGGAGAGCTTGCTTTGAGAAGTCTCCCCCAAAGCATGGCCCTGCCTTCCAATCTCTGCCACCCCACAGCTTCTCCTTGAAGCCCAAGGGATGTCCTGACTTGGGGCAGGCTGGCCCAGGCCCCTGACCACCCATCCCCCCTCACTGGGGCCTGGGTTCCCCACCCTCTATGTGGCATCTCCAGCCCACCAGAGCTAGGTGGACCATCTGCTCACAAGGAGGCCTGCAGGGAAGGGCTCTGTGTGGGGAGTCCTCCCCCTTCTCAGCCCCTCCTACAGTTTCCATGGCAACAGCAGTTGCCATGGTATTGTTGGGTGAGGAGCTGGTGGGGAAGGAGATGGACCCCAGGCCCCCACACCCTCTTCAGCCATTGAGAGAATAGATGTCCTATTTCCATAGCCCTGGGGGATGCCCAAAACTGTGGGGTCATTCCCCCAAAGAACCATTGAGTAAAGGATGGGGAGGAGAAGCAGGAAGCCCTCACCCAGTGACTCCTCCCGCTCTCTGCTGCATGGCCACCTCCAGCTCATGCCACACTGCATCACATTATCTGTTTACTTGCCTGTCTCTCCCACCACACTTCAAGCAAGCGCCTTGAGTAGGGAGCTGAGTGACTCATCATCTCTCCTCCTGGCCCAGCACAGGGCCTGGCACAGCCCTGATTTCATTGAATTATATAAAAATGCAAGTCTGAGTGGGGCGTGGTGGCGCACACCTATCCTAGCACTCCAGAGGCTGAGGCGGGAGGTTCACAGCGATTTAGAGACCAGCTTGGCTGTCTCAAAAAATAAAACAGGGCTGAGGAGATAGCTCAGCAGCATAAGAGCCTGCCTGGCAAGCACAAGGTTCTGGGTTCAATTTCCAGTTCCCAAAAAACCCACAATAACAAAAAAGCAAGTCTGGCTCCTCGGGTGTAGGGGGCAGCACAGTTTCTAGGCTCTGGGTCCAGCAGGCTGTGGATTTGAATTTCATTTCTGGGACTGGAGGATAGTAGCTCCGCACTTGCCTAGCCTGTGTGAGACCCTGGGTTCAAATCCCAGCAGCTCAACAAAACAGCTGGGCCCGGTAGCACACGCCTGTAATCCCAGCACCAAAGATGTTGAAGCAGGCAGATGTAAACCCAGGATGGACAATTTAGTGAGACTCTGTCTCAAAATAAAAAATAAAGGGGCTAGAGATATAACTCAGTGCAAATGCCCTGGGTTCAGTCCCCAGTACTGGGGAGAAAAGTTAGCGTGAAAGGCACTTGCCTGGTGCTAGCAAAGATGAACAATGCAGCAGCGGCCCCTGCCCTCCCAAGGTGATGCACAGGATGGCCCCAAGAGGAGGCCTGGAACCGGGCACTCCTGGGCCCGCCTGCTGTCCCCAGACTTTTACCATCAAGCTGGTGTGAGGACACCTTATGAGTCTGGTCCAGTCCTGGGTCTGGGCCAGGAGACCTGGGTTCCACCACTGGCTTTGTCTGACCCCAGGCCAAACCAAGGGTCTCTTCGGGGTCGCTGCCTGGATCTCTGGCCTGCTTCCCCTTTCCTGGGTCCCAGGACTGCTGACTCGGACAGCCTGGTTTCTAGAAAGGCCTCCACCCTCAGGCCAGCTGGCTGGGGGAGGGAGGAGGACTGAAAGAGCTATCAAAGGGGCCAGGGAAATGGCTCAGTAGCATAAGCGCTTGCCTGGCAAGCACAAGGGCCTGAGTTCAAAAAACCCTGGTTCCCCCCCCCCCAAAAAAAAAAGAAAGAGCTATCAAGACAAAAAACTGACATTCTCAGTAGTCAGTCAGCTGAAGCCTGGGGTGGTGGTGCACACCTGTAATTCCAACACTGGGAGAAGGAGGCAGGAGGATTGTAAATTTAAGCTCAGCCAGGGCTATTTAGTGATTTAGCAAGACCCTGTCTCAAAATTAAAATAATAATAATAACTGGGAATGTAGCACAGTGTGAAGGCTCAGGGTGGGTTCAATCCCCAGTACTGTAGAGGAGAAAAAGAGTCAGCCCCAAGGACACCTGGGTTGACATCAGCTCATGTTTGAGGTACATAGCTTGTCAAGTTTGGGGACAAAGGGGACTTCAGGACCTTCAGTCCAGTCCTTCAAAGGGAGCTGAGTCCATGGAAGGCTGATGACAGGAACCTTGAAGTGCAGAAAATGGACCTGAACCTGAGAACTACTGTGCAGGAAGAACAGTTCTGAACCTCAGCTCAGTTTTGTCCTCGGTAAAATGGAGAATCACATTAGCACCTTCCTCCAGGGATGCCATTGGGTCTGTGAGTTGCACTCCCCAAAGTGGCTGGCATGCAGGAGGCCTTTGGGAAGCCTGAGTCTGTCCCCTGCTTCTGTCTCCTACTTTGGCCTGCTCTGTCCTCAGCCCTGGCCAGCTGGGGCCTGGGGAAAGGAAGTGAAAGGCTGCCCTGCCCACTGCGGAAGGGAGGGAAGGCTGAGCAGTGCCACTTCCTGGGATCCACTCTGTAGCCACTGGACACTTAGGCACGTGGGCCACTCTGTGCCTCAGTTGCTTCGGGCTGCATGCCAATGGCTGGGGTGGGCAGTGACCTCCTGTTTGGCTCAGAACTAACATGGGCATATCTGAAAGGTAGCCAGGGAGTCGCTGGTCTGGGCTGCTGGATGCATGAATTCTGAGACCCAGGGCGCTTGGAACGCCTAGGTCATGGCAGGTCCTTCAGACCTTGACCTTCCTCTGATCCTCCACTCACTGCAGGGACTTCTTGCCCCGTGGATCTGGCATCGTCACCCGACGCCCGCTGGTCCTGCAGCTGGTCAATGCAACCACAGGTACGTGGCTTCAGTCACAGCCAGGCCCAGCGCCTCCAGCTCCCTGACCTTTTCCCAGGCTGCTGGCTGAGAACCTTTCTACCAGAGATTGCCTCTTGTCTCTGGGTCTCCACTCCCCATCTGGACAAGGGAGATGTGGGCTGTTGTGTTTGGAGATGTGTTCGGATCTATTGCCAGTGTGACATGGGGCCCAGGTACGATTTTGCGATGCCTACTCCCCTTCTTGTACCTGCTTTTGGGCAGAATATGCAGAGTTTCTGCACTGCAAGGGGAAGAAATTCACCGACTTCGAGGAGGTACGCCTGGAGATCGAGGCGGAGACCGACCGGGTCACCGGCACCAACAAGGGCATCTCCCCAGTGCCCATTAACCTGCGGGTGTATTCGCCGCACGGTGAGGACCCAGCCTCGCCCCGCCCTCCCAGCTAATTTGCCTATTCCCGCCCCTGGATAATTTCCGAGTCCCACCCCCTCGGGTCCTAATCCTGTTATACTGCGCGGCCCCTCCTGCGGACTCGGCCCCCACAGCAGGTGCACTGCTGCCTCCGGCAGCCACAAGCCCCACCCTCCAGTAGCTCCCCCCACCTCTGGCCACGCCCCCAATGGCCGAGGTTTCAGCCCCGCGGGTTTTCCTAACCCCTGTCCAGTGCTGAACCTGACCCTGGTGGACTTGCCCGGAATGACCAAGGTCCCCGTGGGAGACCAGCCTCCGGACATCGAGTTCCAGATCCGGGACATGCTTATGCAGTTCGTCACCAAGGAGAATTGCCTCATCTTGGCTGTATCCCCTGCCAACTCCGACCTGGCCAACTCCGATGCCCTCAAGGTTGCCAAGGAGGTAGACCCCCAAGGTAAGTTTCTACGCAGCAGCTGGGGAGCAGTATATTTTTATTTTGAGGGAACTCATACAGAGATAAGTACAATAGTTGCTGGATCCAATTTATGCCTTTAAAAATCATTTTTGAGGGCTGGTGAGATGGCTCAGTGGTCTAAAGCACCTACTTAGAACAAGCTTAGCAAATCAGGGGGACCACGGTTCAATCCCCCAGCACCACATGCCAGCCAGCCCCGCCCCCTGGTGGGCTGAGCTGGCCACACACACACACACACACACACACACATAAATAAATAAATAAATAAAAAATAAAAATCATTTTTGGGGTTGGACATGGTGGTGCTATTTTAGCCACTCTGCAATGTGACAGGGGGCAGCCAGGACTGGGCAGGGACCGGCAGGAGATAAGGAGCTAAGGGTCTGTGGGCATAGTGGCACATGGGTCCCCTGTGCGAGCTCTTCTATGGCCCCTCCCCAGGCCAGCGCACCATTGGGGTCATCACCAAGCTGGACCTTATGGACGAGGGCACGGATGCCCGCGACGTGCTGGAGAACAAACTGCTCCCCCTGCGCAGAGGTGGGCAGACCGCACCCCTCCAAACTCCCCTCCCCTGCCCTCTCCCTACCTCCCCCAAAGACTGGCACCCCTGACCTTGACTCTGCCCAAAGGCTACATTGGGGTGGTGAACCGGAGCCAGAAGGACATAGATGGCAAGAAAGATATCACGGCTGCCCTGGCTGCTGAACGCAAGTTCTTCCTGTCCCACCCATCCTACCGCCACCTGGCTGACCGCATGGGGACACCCTACCTGCAGAAGGTCCTCAACCAGGTATGAGAACAGGCGGGATAGGGCCTGCAGAGCCAGCCTAAGAATAGGACAGAGTAAGAATGTGCAGTGGGGAGCACAGAGGGGAGCGTGCCCATCCCACACACAAACTGAGACGCAGAAAAGCAAAGCAGCCCACCACTGTCCCACAGGGAGGTGGAGCAGAACGAGGCTGACTTATACCTGCCTGGGACCTGCAAGGGGATCCCTGTCCTGCGGGACCTTGGGTGGAGGGTGGGGTTTGCAGCTAGGATGGACTACATAGTGAGCTCAAAGCCAACCTGAAGTACACAGGAAGACCCTGTATGTAAACAAATAGAAGACAATCATAGGAGGAAGACATGGAGAGTGCTGCAGACCTGGGTTCATGACCCAACCTCATTATTCTCCCATTCTCCAACTCTCTGAGCCTCTATTTCTGCATCTGTAAAAGAGGCACCATGGTGACCAGCCTCTCTTTCAAAGGGTCACCATGAAGCTTCAGGCAGATGCACTAGAGGGGGCCCTAGCAAAATGGAAAGAATTACTGTAAGAAAGGTCTGAACCTCACAAGGTGCAAGAGGGCAGCTTGCCCTTTAAGGTATTAAAAAATATTAAGTGTGCAAAAGTTAGGTGATTTCAACCTGGGACAGTGGTACAAACCTGTAACCTCAGCTACACAGGAGGTTGAAACAGGAAGATCCCAGGTTGGAGGCCAACCTAGTGGCAATTCGTGAGACCTCATATCAAAATCAAATATTTCAGAAAAAGAGTTGGGGATGTAGTGCCCTTGGGTTCGATCCCCAATGCCACTATATGATGATGGTGATGATGGTGATGATGATTCTAAGACTTAGGTGATTTCAAGAATAAATTCACATTGAGAACTGAGATTTTGGGGGCTGGGGAGATAGCTCAGTAGGATAAGTGCTTGCATGGCAAGTGCAAGGGCCTGAGTTCAATCCCTGGTTCCACCAAAAAAAAGAGAGAGAGAGAGAGAGAGAGAACTGAGATTTTTTTTGTGTTTGTGTTTGTGTCCTTTTTTTTAAGAATCAAAAAAAATTTTATTTCTGTAATTTCAATAATTCATTAATTTAAAATGTAACTTTAAATATCATAACACAATGGAATAGGCATCATGAAAGATGGATATAACTTTTCTATACAGA